AGGAAAAGTTGCAAATCTTTGGTATGAGCGTCGCTCCTAACAGTTAGCTCGTGATGCACAATGAAGTATGGTTTTTAATATATAGTTTCTTTCCAGTTCTTTCCAGATGTAAACACAGGAAATCGAACATATACGGGCTTTAAGTAACTAGCTTCTACATAACAAACCTACATTTTACACAGAAGGGCAGAAAATATGAAGTTTGGGGGAAAGTCAAACTTTAATTTATAAAGGAAAATTAACCTTCAACATAAATTCCACGGGATACTGTGCATTGCGGGCCTAGATTTGATGAGAAATCACGAGGATGTTGCTTTAAGAAAACAGTTGCATTTACTACGTTGCATTTATTTGTGTTTATGCCATGGAGAATTTCTTCATCCAAAAAACGTTTAGATGTATCACGTTATACTACTCCATAGATTACAAATTGATTTTACAAAGTGACAAGTTAACTTCTAGGTGACTATTCTTTATCAAGGCAAAGTGGGTTTTACGGATCATTTTGATTTAATTTCCCAACCCAACAAAGATCCGAACGCTAAAACTTGGCTGAGGACCGGAGGAGGATCATGAAAATCTTTTAAAAAAGTTGCGAATTAAAGATGTTCGGGTTTATTTTATAGATGTTTGAAAACATATCTGAAAAGTTCTCATTATCTTTGGCTAATGCATAACTCACTTTATATAATTCTGCGCATATTTCTTATCCAACGTAATCACTCCAGGGATTTTATCAACTTCTTGTTTTAGTTCTTTTTCCATATCACAATTATAACTCTGAAATATTTGTAGCTAACACAAAGCAACAACGAAGCAATATAAAAAGTCACAAGTCATGATCAACTTACAAGCTCATACATATTCGATGCTGGTGGCAATTTACCTCTGTAATTTTCAGCATTGCCTTTAGCTACATTTTCTCGAATCTTATTAAGAGCATCAAGAATTGCTCCTCTCTCATCTTTTGCAGGGACTGGAGCTCCTTGACAATCTGAATA